CATAAATTATGCTGAAATCTTAATGTGTTTTGGTTTCTGGCCATCTGTGAGTGTCAATACCAGTGAATCTCAGATGATGACGTAATGCTCTGTTCCGGCTGCACAGGTTTCATCCCTGTCGAGACAATAAAGTGTGCTCTTAATTTGAATTGCGGAAAGAATGAAGAAGGAGAGAGAGGAGGAGAAGAGGGCTGAGCTGCCAGCTCAGTTCAAATGGGAATCTGGTCCTCGGGGTACACGCACATGTGTGCATGTGAGAGACAGATAGAGGAGGGAGAAAGAGAGGGTTGTGTGTGAGAGAGATAGGAGAGAGAAAGAAGGGAAAATGCAATTCCAGATTACATGTGCTCGTGCTGCAGCGTGGGTGGGCATGTGTTGGAGGGAGTGAGGGAGAGTGTGAAAGGCTGAGAGAAGGAGAGACAGAGAGCAGTGATTGAGGAGAGAGTGGAGATGATGGAGATTCTGCCCGGCAGTGAGTTTGTAAATTGATGTGTTTGACATAATGTGGGATCTTCATGTGGAAGACGCCAGTAAATTAAAACTGAAAACCAAATGCTGATGCAGGCAAGTGTTATTGTTAAAGGTGAGGGACTGATGATACTACAGTGTTTTTACTGTATCTTCTACTTTGCACATCTCCTAGCAACCACGACCGACACCATTTTGAATGTTTTACAATACTGTGGCTATATGTATGTTAGATGGTTGAAAGAATGATAGAAGTCATGTGAACAGATTTGTACAGGAATAGTGAAGAAATAATTGGTCTGAGCAGGTAGGTTGACTCCAGACTGAATAAGCTATGTTCTGAAACACTGGTAAAAACTGTTACATTTACTATTTAACCTCATTTAAAGACCTGAGACTGAGTAAAACCTACAGTACAGACACATCACACATGATGACAGACTTCTTTTAAAATAGTGCACACAGAATCTTTAGCCTTGACAATCAGAAAAAGGCTGTGTAAATGCAGTGGACAGCACGTTATGATGGCACGATGTGTTTTGACATCAATGAATAAATAGTGAATAAAGAGGAGGGGATGGTGGGTGTTTGTTGCAGCTAAACTGGACATTTTTTAGCAACACATTGGGACATTTCCAGCCGTGTTTGTTGCTACAAAAGCAGGTCTTTTTTAACTACATTTTCAGCTGTGTTTCATGCACTTAAAAGTAGCATTTTTTAATGACAGATCAGGAAAATTTCAGCCTTGCTGTAATTACATAACAGGTATTTTTGAATGACACGTTGGGTCAGTTCCAGCTGTGTTTCTTGCAATTAAACTGGGTTTTTTAAACAACACGCTGTGACATTTCCAGCAATGCTTATTGCAGCAAAACGTTGTGTAATTTTCACAACACATCAGGACAATTTCAGCCGTGTTTCTAGCAGCTAAACTAGGGATTTTTTCATGAAACGTTGTGACATTTCCAGCCGTGTTTGTTGCTATAAAAATTAATGGAATAATGGGACATTTCCAGCTGTGTTTGGTGCCGTTAAACAGGGTTGTTGTTTTTTTTAGACACATCATGAATAACACTTTGGGACAATTTCCAGCTGTAGTTGTTGCAACTAAACTTGGTATATTCCTAACCCTAACCAAGTGTTTTTTGTGCTTAAAGCTAAACGTTAACCACAGCGTTGTCACAATATAAAATATGAAATAAAATTGTAAGGAAATATAAAGTTTTCCATACTATATTTGAAACAAAGAAATTTAACATATAAAAGGTACAAATGTAATATATTTGTGATGTACAGAAAGGCACAATGTATTCTGGTGATTTGGCTGAAAAATGGTACAAAGTCAAAATCAGCGAAATGCTAAAGGGAAGTATGTATCTACTGAAGGGCAACAAGAAGTGTCAATTGTGCAGAGAAATTTTGACTGCATGGCGGGAGATTTTTGTAAAAGTATGGTAAACTTCATCTGAACTACGGCTGTGCACTGAAACCTGGATTATAAATGCTGCACGCCACACTGTGTCTCTGGTGCGAGCTGTCTTTGGCCACTATTTCTGTTTTTATTTCTCCTGCTCATATTTGTCATTTGTCATTGACCTACTTTCAGTTGTAGAAATGTTTGAAATAATCTTAGTTGGACATCAGGCAACAAGTTGTGATGTCTAAAGCCAAACTATAATCACGTTCAAGAATCACTAGGTGTGTCCCCACTTCAGGATAAGAATATCTCAGTGTATTTGTATATTTACCTTTATAATTGTCGGAACTACGTCTTTGTATCCAGGACTGCCCATAAGGGGGTAACAAGGGGGAGAGCTTTCTGGTGACCAGCTGCTATGGGAGGCACAATAATTATATCCATCCTAAATATAAGCAATGACAACCAAATTTAAATTTAAAGCAAAATATTTACCATGACATATTAAAACAACAACTCCCTCTCTGCTGAAAAATGGTATGATTTTTTTTTCTTTTTTTATTTTATAATAAAACACACTGGAGATTTTTCTGGGGGCCCAGCCACGTCTGCAGGTGGGCCTGTCTGTATCTTACAGACAGTAAAACATCAGTTAAAGTTGATGTTGCTCAGCCCAACAGAAGTTTACTCGAATGCCATCCCAAAGTGTGTGACTAAAGGCCCCTACACGTTGTGCAGTTTTGGGCTGTCTGAGATTAAAGTTGACACATGGTAAAATCAATAGTGTTTTGCCAATCTAAAAAAGTGGTCCTAGACAGCATCTTCTGACACGTTAAGTGATGGCCGATTTTGACCTCTGGCAAGCCTTCGGGAAACTTCTGACAGTGTCAGAAACTTAGGACTGAAATTCCTACAAAGTGACTCCTGCTATGACAAGTGTGCATACAGCAGCAGTGCAGGAGGGTGCACCAAAAAGAAATGCAGACGTGAGCTTCCTTAAAGCCTCCTGCAGCTGCTAAGAAATGTCCGTTCTATAGTTAACTGTATTAAATGTTAACAGTCATGCATGCAGTTAGGAGCTGACATCTGGGAAGACCCTGTTATTTATAGATGGCTTTATCTCAGTGAAGCTAATAAGATGTATCAGTAATAAATCTCCAACTGAATAAGCAATGATGTAATGTTTTTGATAATGATGACTCAGTCTTTCAGAAACGCCAAGGCCTCATTCATGTCCAATAGAGAGAGCAAACTACATCAGAGAGACCTCTACTCATCAACACTTAGTATGTTATTTCTATGCTTGACTGAACGGCTCTCGAGTACACACGGCATGATTCAAGTCTATTTGACTTTGTAGTATCCCTCGCATTTGCACAACAAATAGTTACAGAGACAAGAGGCCATGCGAACGCAAGGCTATTTCCTCCTGAAACACGCGGTGCTGTTGCTCATCACAGTCCTCTCAGGAACGGAACAGAATTTCAACACACAGCTCTACACACAGTTCACACCGAAATTATTAAATGATGAAAGCATTTTGCAGCACGCTGAAAGGTTTCCGAGCCGCTTCCTGGTGAAATATCTTTAATGTATCTATCAAAGTCTACCTGATGAAAAACACTTTGTTCGCCTGAGTGTTTGCTGTGGTGTATTAAAGATATGTAAATATGAAACGGGCTTGTGGTAGAGTCCTGTCATCTTTTTCTTTTCGCTTTTATGTGTTGAGCTTTGGTTCGAAATTGTTCTTTTTCTCTGTGGTCATGATGAAAATGCAAAATATCTGAAAACTTAGCCATAAGTGCTCTCACCGTGATGAGTGAGAAAGACAGCCAGCGAGGCTCTTGACAATAGGGCTGATGCTACAGTACGTGATCGTGTGTGTGCGTGTGTGTGTGTGTGTGTGTGTGTGTAACCGATGCCCATTTGAAAGCCGGGCGCTAGTCTTTCGTCCTTCAATCGCCAATTAACAAGGGCCCATTTAATTGCAGTGGTTTGGGAGGGCATACAATTACCACTGGAGCTGAACCAAGCTAAACACACACACACACACACACACACACACACATACACACAATTCTTCTTAATGAGCAGCACTATCAGCTCTCCTTTCTTCCTCTCTTTCATTTGCATTTTCCTCACTCTCTCCTCCTCACGCTCCCACCTGCTCTGCCGAGGCGTTTCGATTTAACTTTCCTTCCTCTTCTGTCTGTCACTTTCTCTCCTGTGATGTGCTTCCTTCAAAGCTGTTGACAAATCTCTCTTCTTCTCCTTGTTTCCTTTGTCTCAAATGCTGCATCTAACCCTCTTCTCCTCTTTCCTTCCTCTCAAATGCTTTCTCACCTTTCTTTCTTTAGTTCTGCTCCCCGCTTTTAGTTGTCTTTTCTCCTCAAATAAAGAATACAAAGAATCAAGGGCATAGGTTTTGTTTCGATAGTAAGGGAGACACATGGGGAGTTTGGGGGGTCCTCCGCTAGAAAATTCTGTTTAATTTTTATGCACCAATGAGTGCTTTTTCCACATCAGTTTATGGTATAAATGTCTTAACTTTTGTCATCATACAAGTCCTCTGCTACTTTCATGTTTTAATTGGCAGGTAAAAATGCACACGTTCTAAATATTGAAGGGGACATGTCCCCTGTGTCCCTTCTTCTTCTTCTTCTTCTTCTTCTGGCTTATGTCCTTGGACCTTCAGCTCCATTGAGACAAGCCAGTGTTTTAACGTCCAGGTCAATCAGACCACGATCACCAGTCAGTGGCTGGTGTTTGGGGCACTTGGTTATTATGCGTTCGACAGTTTGTAGTGGATCCCACAGTGGGCACTGTCCATGAGACGCCATTTTTGCATTGCTTCCCCAAAGGGTCATACACCTGTCCTTAGCCAGTTGAGGGCTGTCCATTGCTTTCGGGCCAGGTGCTGGCCGGGAACATATGTGGGGTCTTCAATGTAGTGGTGGAACCATGATGGTTCTGCTGACTTCCACTGGTCCCTCCATCTTGCCTTGACCCAGACCCTGTGTCTCCTACATCAGGTTGCTTTTATAATTATTATAATTATTTCCTTCCTCTTCTCTTTTTCTTTCTTTCTTTCTTTCTTTCTCTTGCTCTCACACAGGTTCTTTTAAAGGCATGTGTAAGCAGATAGATCACTTCCCCGAGGATGCTGACTATGAGGCGGATGCTTCCGAGTACTTCCTACGTAAGTCCTTCCTTCCATCCATATTCCAAGAATTTATTGTATGTTATCCTCCGTGTAAGTGTTTGGTATTTCTTGCCCTTATGATCATTCATATTTGGATCAGTTTACTTCACTACTCTTGAAACTCCCCTTTTCAACGACCAAATCAAAATAATAATATTAATCATACAGTGCAACATACTTGCGGTACTTATTTAAAGTTGTACAATGCTTTTTAAGCTCATTTTGTAAAAGATGCCCAAAGTCATACTGAACCTGAATAGCACTGTCATATCATCATGCTCATCCTACAATTAAAACATCATTTTATATGAAGTTATGCAGGCTGTTTTCATGCACTGTTCGTGTGTATACCTACAGAAACCTACATTATCATCAGCCAGTATTTCATATTCAACCCATGTAATCAATGTCGACTGGTAGGTAATGGTATAAAGAGTGAAAGTCAAGTTGACGCAGTGGACAGGTCATACAACATGGGACTTTCCCCCAGGAGACTGGTGTTCATGTCCCATGTAAAACCATGTGAATTCTGAGTTATTTTAAGGTTTGTCGTCACCATGTTTCTTTTCCTAAACCTACTGCTGCATTCATATGGAATCAGGCACACCCAATATCATTTTACTGGAGGAGGGCAGGAGGGTAGAATTAGGAGAGGCCAACAGAGTATACCTGCAACACTAACAGTAGATGGCACTGCCATTAAAAGTTAAAATATTTTAACGTTTTGCCATCCTCTGCAACAGAATGTACAATCGGATGTTACGTTGCTCCTTCACACAAGGCAACAGATAATTACTGTTTGAGGATACATAAAATTGTAACAGTAGCTTCGAAGAGAGAATATACTGAATCTATGAGATCAGACAGTTAAAATTATTGAAGTTTCAGCAGTCTCTCTGAGATACAAGACTATGTCAGTACCTGCTTTGCCACCAGAAAACGTAAACTGTTTAAGCTTGATGTGAGAAGGAGAGAGAGAGAATAAGAGTCGATGAAGGCAACCTTGGCCAATGAGGACAAATGTAAGATGAAGGAAAGAAGGGAGGAGGGCTGGGATGAGAAGTTGCAGGTGGAAGGGAAAGGGCAAAGAGTAGCAAAAAGCTAAAGACAAGAAACTAGGGAGAGCTGTGTTAAGATAGAGGGACTCAGAAGAGAAGGGGTGCAAGAGGAGGAAGTCAAAGCACAAGGTCACTGCTGTGGACAAGGAGCATGGAAGGGCAGCAGAAAGAACGATTAAGTCTCAGGGAAGACAAATTCCAGGACATGAAAGAGGACGGGAGGACAAGTTGGCAGGAGAAGGCGAAAGCCAAGGAGAAGGGAAGGTTGGGGAGGTGAAGGACAAGGAGTAGGGTACCAGTGCAGTGCTGTTGCTCTCCCAGCGGCTTGCCAATTAGGACACTTTCTTCTATAAATACTCCAGGCTCCGCTATATGGGTCACACCTCTCCCTCTCCTCCTTCCTTCTATCCATCCCTTGCCTCCTCCCTCTTGCTTTCCATCCATCTGTCTGTCCATCTCCACCGAGGCCCATGCGCCTGTCTGACAGCTGGTGGATGGAGGCCATGGGGTGGAGCGAGGGGATGATGGGGAACAGGACAGAGAGGAAACCGAAGTTGGTGTCAGAACCCACTTGATTTTTTTTTTTTTTTAGAAAGTTTTCAGAAAGTTTGGCTTGAAAATGAGTGCAACAAAGCCTCAGAATTATTACTCTTAAACAGTTTATTTTAACAATTTACAAGACATACTGACCTGCAATAGTCTGCATGTTCTAAGTTTTATGCATTTTTAATTGCGCTGGGTTTCTAGGAAAGGTGTGAGGATTCCGAATGGTCTGAAGGACTTTCTGAATGAGCCCTAGAGAATAGTATCTATACAAAACATTCAGACAAATAATCCCCGACAGAGATGAGACATTGATCGGCTGTTGCTCTAGTATCCTTTACACCCTCGTGGCCACTGAAACAGCAGTCACCAGTTTTGGAGTGGAAGGAAGAGGCTGCTATTCATTTTGAATTACTGTATTTTGTCCACATGAACCACTGATCATGCCCTCCTTCCCATCCTGTTGTGGGTCGTCATGGCAACCATTTGAAATATCTGTGCACTTGTGTGTTTGTATACGGAGCTCTGTGAGGTACATGTAGGCTTGGGACAAACCGGAAGACAAGCCGCTGAAAACTACAAAAGGCTGAACAAACCACGCATAAATACACATGAAAATAGTTTGATCCAGGTGGCTCGGTTTGTTTTTAGTCTTTGACAGTCAGGGAGGAGCATAAACCTTACAGTGTCTCTTTATATGCAATAAAATTTGCACTGAAAATGCCAAAAAGCAGGAGCAAGGGGCAAAGTTCGGGTGAGACTGCATAGAGAAGCATCGGCGTGTATGGCTACATACACATTTGGTCTAATTGATGTGGCAGGTCAGTAATGGTATGTGACTGTGGCCATTTGCACAAATTGTACATCTTCTTCTGTTTGTTTTCTGAGCACCGCTTCTATGGCTTGCAGGATTACATAATTATTGTAAATGCGCTAACACACTGACTCTTGCACTCTTTGCTTCTGGTTCCCTGTAATCTTCAGTGATATGGTAATCAAAGCGCATTCTTCTGTTGCACTCACTGTAAGGCACTCTGAATAACAGTGTCAGCTAAATTACTAAAATGACAATGTAAAGTGTGGATGATGACACACTCTGACAGATGGAAATGATGCAACATTTGTTTATCAAGGCGGGATTTTCTCTATCACTCACTCATGCACATTCCCCACCTGGAAGCTTCCCAAGACAACCACAGTCTCTTACAAGTGGCCACTGAGCAGCTCTATTGGATTGGTTCGGTGCCTTGTTGTACAGTAGCTGAGAGAGGGGAGACTACTGCTCTTCCTGAATCAAATACAAGCCTCAAATGTTGATTTAACAATTCCCAGGCTTCTGCTACCTTGAATTTAATTTTTTTTTGTTTTTACCTTCAGAAGCCTGAGATAATGATATGAAAAAGATTGCCAAGGAAGCTCAGTGAACAGTAGCACTCAGTGTTTGTTGACTAGTGGGCCCTTGATATTCTCAGTGCAATGAGGATGTGTACTCAAACAGCAGTTATTACAAGCAAATCCATACTGAATCATACCGGACAGAAAGGCTTAAACAGTGATGTTAAAGCAGGTGTTTTGCCTTTGACAGCTGGTTGAGATAAGCCCTCATGCCTAATATAAAAACGCTGTCCTGCCATCATAGCTCAGCAGTAAAGACAAGTGCGTCAGGTCAGGTACCAAGTAGCTGAACCACAAAAAGGCTGATTTGCGGATAGTATTTTGTCTTCATTTTTATTTGGTTCTGGGTTAAACAAAGGACATGCAGGTGTTGAATGATAAATATGCAATTTATACAATGAAAATAATTTAATTTAATGTGACTGCTGACTTTGTGTGTGGGCTCTGTCATTAGCGCCAGCTGGAATGTGAGAGCCGCTTCAATCAACTGTGTGACCAACAGGGACGTTAACTGCGGAGATGTGGTGCTCAATATTATGAAATAAGCAAAAAATATTCATTTAAATCACAATTTCTGAATTATGTTCATTTCAAAATATTATCTTGGTTGCAGCTGTATGAAATGACTCAGAATTATCACTTAAAACATGCTGCCAAACCACATTAGCCACATTTATGGCTAATGTGGTTTGGCAGCATGTTTTTTTTTACATTTTATGAACAGTGAATTAAAGGACAACGTCTGGCAGTCAATTGTCCAGCTTGGTGGTTGCGGTGAGAGTGCTAAAGAAAGTTGATGTTGACGCATGTTAAACGTTAGCTTGCTAGCTCACTACTACTGCTGCTGCTGCTGCTACTCTCGTCCATTTTCACCCACACCCGTTCACGCAGCGCGGACTTGGAACACAACAACGCAAAATTCCACACCACATCCGTACCGCGCCCGTGTGTATGGTTTGAGCGCGGAAAAGCACTGCGCGAATATTCCGCAAATCCGTCCCGCATTTCTGTATTGCGGCAGTGAGAATGAACCTTTAGACTGAGGAGCATCAAAATCAGTTAATGTTAGTCCACACAGGCCAAATAGGATCGGAGTGGCAAAATGCAGCATTGGCGTGGCAAAATTTTGAATCAATAAAACATGCTTTAATCATTATTTTGTGTCACATCACTGAATGTTTTAGTAGTATGCCATGTTCTAAGCGGGATAATGTATAATGAGCCAGTGACGGTTGAAAAATAACTCCAGACAGGGGAATGGAACCCCGACGCACAGTCACCGGCTCACTATACATTAACCCGACGCGCAGTCACCGGCTTACTATACATTATCCCTTACATACAACACATTCTCACTCCGACCTAGTCACATATTGGCATTTGGTCTTGGACTTTCCACGTCCGAATACAACTTGAAAGGTACCCTAGGTGTGTTGGTTGTTGATGTTCTTTGATGCAGTGTCAAGTTTTGCCTGCTATTTCTTTCAAAACTGACTTCTGTTTTCACATGAAATTTAATGTTTACATACAGTAAGTCTCTTTCAAAATAAAAGCGCTACATCGGTACAACACCGCAGATTGACTGATAGTGCTGCTCATTGACACATGGTTGGGTTGGGCAACAAAAGCACGTGGTTAGGTTTAGGGTTAGGGTATATTGTCTCTTTAAAGCTACGAGACGCGAACACAACTCTTTCAGGTGAAAGCCCGCCAGCCCGAGTCAGACGTTTGCCTCCTTTTCTTTTTTTCTTTTTCCTTTCTTCTTTGTCTCGCTGCATTTCCCTATGACACTAACACTGATTTCTGATGCCGCAAGTCACTGCCCAAGCACCGGATTTCGATGATTTTGGTGTGAGAGCGGGCTCTGAAATCAAACCCCTGCAGGACTCTGGTTGGAACAGCGTTGTGCGGAGTGCAGAGTGGAGGCATTTAGCTAGCGAGTGGGATACAGACACAGGGACTCATGGACTAACTTGAATTGACCTGAGTGCAAATAAGCGC